GGGGGGGAGGATAGAGAACAGTTCAGACCTTGTATGCTCCCTGGTACTCACCAACCTGTTTCAATATAGACAAATAATGAATTTTTGAAAATTCATATAAAAGGGTTCACGAACTTGTATATGACTAAACACAGTACTACACTCCAAAGCAAAAGGATTGAAACAATATAATAAAACAAAATAAAAGTAGGATCATTACTTCTTCACCCATTATAAAGACTTTAGGATCTGCTGACATTTCTTCATCAAGTGCAGAATTCAAGGCATCACGCACTGTCATCTGTAATGGAAGAACTTAAGGCACACCAATAATGATCCACTAACAATACAGCATCAAAACAAGAAGGAACCGGTATAAATCACCTGTTTAGAAGATGAAGCAAAACTCCGGGATGCGAACAAGCTACTTCTCATCAAAAACCGATTCGCAATCTACATTTGATTTTTTAAAAAAAGGATGACAACTAAAGATAGCAAGCTTCGAGTACATTCAAAAAATGGAATCAATTTTCTTTGGCACGCATAAAAAGATGCCAAATCTCAACAGATTTGAGATTTTACCAGGGCAGAAATGCCTGTAGAGGCCATCTTACGACCCAGAATTCCAGACATGGCAATCTAGCTTGTTCAACACAGATATTGTCTCAGCCCTGACAGAGAAAATTCATGAAAATTCAAAAGAAAAAGACACACTTCATACAACGATCATGCGAACACGGCCACAAACTAACCCGACAAATTCAGATAAACACACCCAGATGCACATATATATATACACAACATAGTAATAAAATCGAATCTGGCATGAGTTTGACCTTTTGGCGGAGGAAGAGAGCAAACCCAGATTCAAGGAATTGTTCGGGCAGGTAATAAAATTCCAAGGAAGGTAGGTAGATGATGACGGGCTCCAGAAAAAAGAGTAGATTTCGTTAATGGCGGCCCAATGATTAAGAAGCTGGTTTCTCAGATCTGATTCTACTGTGAACAGAGTGGCTCATGGTTAAAACCAGTGATGTGTAAAAATAGGTCACTCTATTGTTTCCAACCAAATAAATTAAAATAGATTTTCAAATAGTTCTAATAAATACTCTTTTCGGAGTAATACTCGAAAAGAGCACCGATTTTAAGGGCCTGTTTAAGAATAGCGATAGAGATTAACGTTAGCATTTTGGATAAAATTTTAACGGTGAAGACTACTTTGAAAACGCTGGCCGTAGATAGCCTTTTCAAAATGCTAACGCTAATCTCTAACGCTGTTCCTAAACAGGCCCTAAAAAAATAAGAATTGAAAATATCGGACTGAACTATTACAATTAAAATGGTAAATTAATTAAGTACGAGTATATCTTTTTCCTTTGCTATTTTTTTTATATTTTTAGTTCTTGTTTGTTGCGATTTTAACTCATTTAATCTTTCTTTTCTATATTACTACGAGTGCTTTAAAGTCATGATTTGTAAAAACTTAAAAATTTAATATTTTAAAATTACGTTTAAAAGTAATTTATTGATGTTATATTTATATCATAACTCAGTGTCATGTATTTTTTCTGCGTATTGAGTTATATGTTTAGAAAGTTTCTCCAAAAAAGTCAAATGAGAAGAAAAAATTCCAGACGTGAGGAGTACTAAACAATACATTTATTGTGTAAAGAAATAAAAATACATTAGTGCACCAGACATGTTATTACTTTAATTGATTAGATTTTGAGTAAATTTCCAAAATAACATTCCATAACTATGTATTTTTTTAGATTAGTTCCTAAGATGAATTAATTACCGAGATGGTACTCGCTAATTGAAAATAATGTTTAGTTTAGTCCCTCCGACTAACGGTCGTCAAAACAATGTCAAAACAACATTAATACTTACGTAGTATACTAATTAATACTTAAAATAGATTTTCAAAAGAGTGTCAATAATACTGGAATAGGGTTTTCTAATAAATAATACTGGAATAGGGTTTTCTATTTCCAAAAGAGTGTCAATTTACGAGTATAGGCCATGTTTGGTAAATGGCGGTTCACCAGCATTTGGCATCTTTGACCTTAAACGGCGGATTGGACTAGTCTAACTGCCAAATTAATTGTTTGGATAATAGCTTTTGGAATTCACATTTAGAACCGAATAGCCAAAAATTGAAATGCCAACCCTAGCAGCAGTTTACCCCCTTTTCCGTTTCTTACCCTTTTTCAGTGTTGCGTCTCTCTGCGATCCTCACGGCACCGGAAGTTTTCCTGACTTTCTCCCTACAATTTCCTAACTAGTCGAGAGCTTGTTTGATTTTTTGTCACTTCTAATGCTCATGTCGTCTCAAATAAAAGAGGTTTGATACTTCAGATTGTGATTTCTCGAGTAATTTATTTATTTTTTAATTTAAAATTGGTGTAGAATATTTTTATATATTATGATATCATATTTAAAAAATTATAAAATAAAATATATCATGCATGGTTGTTATTTGTAGAATGATAAATGAGAAAAATACAAAAACATCTACTTATCTATACTATTCTTAAAAGCAGGGGAAATTGTGCAAGCCTTTTTCCCGCCCAAACATTCATCTATTAATGCTAAGAACGTTAATAGCCTTGGAATATTTTTTGGTAATATATTACTACCTTTTATGCATTTAATTATAGAAAATATTGTTACATTATTACCTTATATAGCTTTTATTTAATGTCAATTTAATCACGGAAACATCTTTCAAAAATATAATACCTTTTATACGTTTAATTATAAAAAAATACTTTTACATTATTACCTCATATAGCTTTTATTTAATGTGGATTTTATGATATAAACATTTTTACGGTAATATATTAACTTTTATGGAGGAAATATATTTTTTTGTAAGGCGTGTATTATGTTAAAATAATAATAGAAATACTAATGTAACAATGGTAAGGATTGAAATCGCGCTAAAATAGTGTTTCGTTATGAAAAAAATATATGTACATTAACACCTTATGTAGCTTTTATATAATATAAATTTGATTATAAAAATTTTTTATCTTTTAAAAATTTTATGCTTGAAAAGTTAGTCTTGATTTTAAATTAAAGAGAATTTCAATATTTGAGGAAATTCATTATTCGGTACATTATTACGTTTTACGAAAATTTTACGCTTGACAAGTTAATTACTATATATTATTACATTTTTAAGGAGAACATAAATTTTTATTAATTTTAATGAAAAATCTGATCATAAACTGAAATATACATCAATACACCAAATTTAAATAATAAATATTAAGTATGTCAATTAACAACGTATAATTGATATTTTTATGACAAACATATATTATGTCAAAATAATAATAAAAATACTAAGCTAATAATAGTAAAAATTGAAATTGAGTAGAAATGGTGTTTCTTTATGGAATTTTTTATACTCCCTCCGTTTGGGAAAACCCTTCCCACTTTGAAAATAAGGCAAATTAAGGAAGTATAAAATTATAGTTGACTTCCAATTTTGCCCCTGATGTGATGGGTAAAAGTAAGATGTGATGGATTGATTATTAGAGAAAAAATATGATGTGATAGGTAGGGTATGAAAAAGTAAGGGTAAAAGTGGTTTTTTAATAGAAAGAAGAAGTGTTTTGTTGGAAGTGAAAAAAATGAAAGAGGAAGTGTTTTTGAGAACGGAGGAAGTATATATTACGGAGTATTATCTTATCATTCTTATGTAGCTTTTATATAATGTCAATTTAATTATGAAAACATTTTTATAGCTTTTATAAATTTTACGGTTGACAAGAAGAAAAATTATATACCATACATTTTTACCATTTACTAGCTTTTACCATTTAATATTTCCACAAGTAAATACTATTTTAAGGCTATCTAAATACTTACCATTTTAAATGAGTATTTTTATTACCATTCCTAACATAATACATGCCTAATAGAAATATTACTATTTTATTGTACANGCCTATATAAATATTCGCTCTACCCGTGGATTACTATCATCTATTAATTTTTAGTTTCTACCCAAGTTTAAAAATGAACTTCATACTCAAATTTTAAAATTCATTTCATACGTAGGATTGTCACAATTATTTAGATAGAAATAATATAATGTGTTATTCAACTTAAAGTTTATGTTTAAATCATAAAAATGATCCAAATTTTAAATGACTATAATTATTAAATGCAATCAATAAAAATTGATATCTTGCATTTGCTTTTTTTAATGTATTTGTTTCTAATTTCTAACATATTGTAACTTTTCAAATTGATATTTTGTAATCTAATTGATTTATAATATTATCAAATTTTATGCAAATGTTTTAGTTTTAAATTTACTTCATTTAATTACTATATACTTGTTTTTGTGTAAGTGATTGCTGCATATTTTTATTTCATTATTTACTAAATAATCTTTAATTTTCATTTTGTACCATTAGCTGTACTACTCATGTGGAGTTTTTTATATGGGTAGCAATGTAGTTTACAAAAAAAATTCAAACTTCAAATTTCTTTAAATATTATATTTTGATTTAATAATCTACGGAGTATTTGTTGTTAATTGCACCTTTTTCAACATTAACATAATTAGACAATTTCATATTTGAAATGTTAGCCGTGCAACACACGGGAGTGAGACTAGTAAAATATAAATGTAAATTCTCATTTCTTAAATTAAAAAAAAACAAAGTAGCCTTTTTTGTCCAACAAAAAAAATATATGTAAAGCATTTTCTTGTATAATGTGTGTATTTTATCAAATTAAATAAATTAAAATCATACATAAATTAACATAAATGAAGGGATGTCGTTATATGTAATTTTACGCACAAACAACTAACTATAAACAACTAAAGTTGCCAAACATCTAATTTTTAACAGCTAACAGAAACATCCGGTCAAAACATCTAACTCAATCAGCCATTCAAACCCGCCAGCATAAACAGCCAACTGCCAATTGCCATTTTCCAAACAAGGCCATATCTTTTTCCTTGGCTATTTTTTTATATTTCTAGTTCTTATTTAATTTGTTTGTTGCGATTTTAACTCATTTAATCTTTCTTTTCTACTCCCTTCGTTTTTAAAAACATGAGATGTTTTTATTCTTAAGGGATTTTAAGGGGGATTGTATTTTGGTGTTGAGTTTCTAAAAATATCCTTGGATGTGATGTGTACAAGTAAGGTTTGATAGCTAGATTAATAGTAAATATATGTAATGTGATAGGTAGGTTAAGAATTAGTAGGGATAAAAGTGACTTTTCAAAAAAATGAGAAAATTTTTTTGGGACGGATGAAAAAAGAAATAAGAATGGTTTTCAAGAACAGAGGGATTACTACGGGTTCTAAAAATATTACTACGGGTACTTTAGTCATGATTTGTAAAAACTTGAAATTTAATATTTCAAAATTATGTTTAAAAATTATTGACATTATATTTATATCATAACTCAGTGTCATGTATTTTTTTCGCATACCGAGGTATAAGTTTACAAAATTTCACTAAAAAAGTCAAATGCGAAGAAAAAGTCCAGACGTGGGGAGTACTAAACAATACATTTATTTTGTAAAGAATTAAAAGAGTAAAATAAGTTTTACGTGGTCCTCTATAATTGAGATTTATTCTCAAAATAGTCCTTTGTAATAAGGTATTTTTCCAAATCAGTCCTCAATGAATTTTAATTATCTACGTGGTCCTCTATAATTGAGATTTATTCCAAAGATGGTCCTTCGTAAATAATATTATTCAAATGAGGATTAATTGAGGGTATTTTTTATCCGCTAAATTTAGAATTAATTCTTAAAATAATCATTTATAATGAAGTGCTTTCCCAAAATGGTTTTTCTAATTAAAGATGTGTATTTGATTTGAAATTTAAAAGATCTTTAATTAGAAATATCATTTTGGGAAAGCACTTCATTATAAATGATTATTTTAAGAATTGATTCTAAATTTAGCAGAGAAAAAGTACCCTCAATTAATCCTCATTTGAGAAACATTATTTACGAATGACCATTTTGGGAATAAATCTCAATTATAGAGGATTGATTTGGGGAAATACTTTATTACAAAGGACTGTTTTTGGAATAAATCTCAATTGTAAAGGACCACGTAGGTAATTAAAACTTATTGAGGACTAATTTGGGAAAATCCCTTATTCCAAAGGACTATTTTGAGAATTTACTCGAAATAAAATTACATTAGTGCACTGTGCACCAAACAATCATTTTACTTTAATTGATTAGAATTTTGTAATATTTTTTTGACTAATAAAATACAAATGTATGATTTGGTATTGTTATTGCATTGTACCGTACCATTCTGAAGTGACATGGTACCAAAATAGTTTTGGTCATAAAATCAAATCATACTGAGCTCTTTAAATAACTAGTATTTTGACCCGTGTCATTCACGGGATGGAACAATTTTTTTCGATCTTGCAATTTTTTTCACTACGATATTTCTCAAAAATCGAACAGATTAAAATGTGGGCCTTATGAGTTAAAATAATGATAAAACATACGGAGTACAATATGTTCTACTAAAGTTCTACCATATACTTTTAAAAAATTCTTAATTAAGTATTACTACCTCCGTCCCTAAGCATTTGTCTAGTTTTGACTTTTTTCAGTTAACTATTTTCAACTTTTGATCTATGATTGAATAAAATATGTATTGTAGATTAATTAGATAACATAATTTTTTGAAAATATTTGACATAATAAAACAAATAAAACTATTTTTGTATCAATATTTATATAATTTTTATTTAATTTAAGATCAAAGTTTACCAATTTTGACCGAAAAAGTTAAAAGTATAAAAATACTCAGAGACGGAGGGAGTAATTATTAATTCCTCTGTTTCTAGTTGATTAGTCTTGTCGAGATTGCCACAAGGTTTATTTAGATACTTTTGGTTGGTGAGCCTGCGGTTCATTGCAAGAAGTTACTTGGGTACATGATTTTGTCAGTAATGTTCTATGTGATGTTCTAAAGCATGCAAATAGAGATTTTGGGCCAAGAAGAAGGCTCTAATATGTGAACTTTCTGACGAATGTACTCGAAAAGAGATGTATTCTACAGATAGCCAATACTCTTGTGTTTGGGTGGGCTGGTAGAAACACAGTTGTTTGGACCTTGTAGATGTCTCCTCTTATTGGGCTTAGAGACAATGAGTGTGTTGTTGGCCAGACAATTTTGAAGGTGAAAGAGGCAAACTGTGTGACACAACACGAGAAAATTTGCTTAGAAAATCAATATGTCTTTATCCCATTTGCTTTTGATATGTTTGGTTCTCTTTCCCCAACCGTTGTGGAATTTCTTAATAGGGGGCTAGTGGGTCATGCGTAATAATATCTCGAACCCTAAGGCTCATAACTTTGTTTTTAGTAATATCGAGTTTGTTATTCGAAAGTGCGTTGCAGCGTAGCTTATTGCCCGTTTGTCCACCACTTTTTTGAATTGTGATTTGTTGAAAGCCATTAGTCTAACAATTAAAACATTTTAAAATATTTTTAAGGTATACAACACTTTTTTGTGATGCTGTAAAGACTACCAAAGACATCTAAACCTAATATTTTCAACCTTACCTTTACTCTCAGTCATGAAACAAACAATATAAAATTAAATGTAAGTGAATACCGGCTTGAAATTTTTTTTTGATAAATGACAATATATGACCTTATTTTTTGTTTAGTCATAACGAAACAAAAATTATCAGAATTTGTATTCTTTGAAACATCAAGGGTAATAATCATGTTTGAAATGATACATAATTCATTTTGGGCATGTAAACCTCGTTTCTGACTTCGTCATAAAATCAAATCATACTGAACTCTTTAAATAATAATGATGCGGTGTGAGTTCTATGAAAATTTTGAACCGTCACAGACTGCACCCACCATAGTTAAAATTTGTGGAGTATTTCTTTGTTTATTTATTGGTTCAAAAAAAAATTGTATCTTTTAAAAAGAACTTTTTGAGACAATATATTTTTTCATAAAGGATAAAAAATAAAAAATTACTATCTTTGTATAATGGATGAAAAAAATGAAAACCATTTTATGGGACAAGTTATACTATATTCAAATTAAAGTTACTTGATTGTTAGCTAAATCTATTTTCAACTTCATTCCTCATAAAATTGGTTTAAAAATAAAACAAATAATACACACACACAAATCACATTAGTAACTTTTGTATGACTCAAATTCTCTCTCTATCCATGTCGCGGAGAAGAGGAAGGCCGAAGAAAAAGACTACAAACCAAGGCGTACAAACACCGGAGGGAAGTGTCTCTCTCTCTCTGCCAAATATACGACAGAGAAAGCAACCCCCTAATCAAACAAGGATCAAAATGGATCTGCAAATCCCATCAAGGAATATGCAGATGTATTGGCAGATTCAGATCTGAAGCTTACTAAGGAGAATATACCTAAAACCTACGCGAGCGCAGTGGGGAATCAAGATGATGAGATGAAGTTGAAGTTTATTTCTGTGACAGAAATGAATGGAAATCGGGTAACAAAACTCACAAAGGATAACATCATTGATTCTACAAGCTACTTGGATGCGACACTGGTATGCTGTATATTAGGAGTTAATTTTCCTTTGAAGGTGGTCAATGGTTATATTAACAGAACATGGAAGGAATTTCGATCGAGGAAATTTCTCTGTTGAAGGAAGGCCAATATATTGTTTCTTTTAAGAAAGTGGAAGATAGGGATTCTGTTCTTCAGAGAAAATACTACTACTTCGATAACAAACTTGTTTTGATTTAAAAATGGTATCCTAGACTAGAGATTAATCTAGAAAATTTAGATGATGTTCCTATATGGATACAGTTTCCAAATCTGGATATGAGGTTCTGGAATTTGTCTGGATTAAGTAAGCTTGGCAGCATTCTGAGAAAGCATATAAAGAGGGATAGGCCAACTGATAACAAAACCAAGTATGCTTTTGCTAGAGTTCAATCACCTATGTGGATGATGAGAACATTGTGCACACACAGCAAATTGTTTATGAGTGGTTCCCTTGCATTTGTTCACATTGTAGGAAACTGGGTCATATGCAGGAAAATTGTAGAACTTTGATGGGAAAGCTAATAATGTGAGGAGGAAATTGGTTTGGAAACCTAAGATGGTTGATGAAGGTAAGAACCCAATAATCGTCAATGAGACAAAGAAGGAAATAAATGAAGAAGGAAAGAAGGGGAAAGATGGGTCTAGTAATCCGGAAGAGGAGGGTTTCATTGAAGTTAATGGCAATAAAGTAGCTAAGAGGAAACTTAAAACTGATGAAGGAGATCTCATGGCTGCTCTTAAGAATGTGTTGGAAAAAAGTCCCTATAATGGGCACTGCCCCTTTTTCACATGATAGGGAACTAGAATGTTAGGGAACTTAATAGTACTCTAAAGCAACAAAAAGTTAGGAGAATGGTTAATAAATATGAAATTGGTTGATTGGGGTTATTAGAGACTAAAAATAAGGGTGAATAAACTTGAGGAAGTTGAGGATAATATCCTAGCTTGATGGGGTTCTTTCATGAATAAAGAAGCTCATCCCTTGGGAAGGATTTGGATACTTTGGAATAAAAGCAAGTTCGAGGTTAAGGTTCTTGAATGGAGTGATCAGATAGTACATTGTAAAAGAAGGGGTATTGGGGACATAAAATATTTTTACCTCAACTTTAGGTATGGGCATAATAAAGCCCTTGACAGGAGAAAAATGTTAGAACATCTGGAAAGAATTGTTGAAGATATGAGGAATAGTTGGATAATAATAGGGGATTTAAATGCTGTTTTTTCTAATTTGGATAGAATTGTAGGAAACAACATCACATATGAAGAAACTAGGAAGTTTAAGGATTGCATGAATAATTGTGAGTTTGAAGAGGTACCTAGTGAAGGTAATTATTACATATGGTGTATTAAACAAGATCATGGGAATAGAATCTCCTCCAAATTGGATAGAGACATGGCTAATATGGAATGGTTTCTCTAATTTGGAGCTAAGATTCAGATTATTGAAGAAGGGATTTCTGATTATCGTATGCTCTTGATTAGAACTCAACCTCAAGACAAGAGGAATATAGGAGATATGTGGGAACTAGATTTAGCTTTTAAAACAATCCTTAGCTAGGGACGTATGGAGGAGGGATATTAATGGCAGATACATGTATCAGATTATACATAAACTAAAAGATCTTAAGAGTCCTTTGAAGAGGCTTAATAAAAGTAATTTCTACCAAATTGATATTCAATGTGGGAGGATCTTGGTGATATCCAAAAGAGGCTGAAAGTGGACATAAATAATCTAGATCTGATTACCAGGGAGAAGGATTGTCTCAAGGAACTTATATTCAAAACCAAGGCTTCACAGATGATGAAATTTTAGCAGGCTAAACAACATTGGATAATAGATGGAGATCAAAGCTCTAAACTATTCTTTGCCTGGTTCAAAAAGAGAAGGTTAGCTAGTCAGATTACTACTATCCACAATAACAAGGGGATGAAGGTTGAAGGAAGAAATAAAGTTGCAAAGGTTATGGTGGACTACTTCAAGAACCTGTTTGGGATTATTTCTTGGACAGATCCCATTCAAGAAGACATTATTAAAACAGGCCCTTAGCTAGGGTTAAAAGTTTTAATTTCCTATATATATTATATGTCTTACACGACAAAAAGGGAGAGAAATACACGAAAGATAGAGATGAGAAAGTATAGATTTAATATTCACTCTCTATGTGATTTTAGAGACACTGATCTGATACATATATTTAAAACGTGAAAGAGTTAAACACGTCGTTCTCTACTGGAGTGATTGTGTGCATAAAAGAGAGACGCATTCACTTGTCGTCTCTTGATCTACACGGTCTAGATTTTGAGAAACTGATTCTAGAACTAGGGCTACTAACACGTCCTTCAAGATACTTAGGTGAAGCTGTGATATTTGCAGAGAAGGCTCAAATAGCATTCGTGTCAAAAGTAATAGTTTAGAGTTTTGTCATAATAATATGGAGAAGTGTGTCTCGTTGTTATTGACAAGTGTAACCTGCTTCTAAGATTTAGTAAATAGCTATTACACGGGTGTGGGGTGCCCAAAAAAGTAGAAGGATTTTGCCCCAAATTGTGTATACACAATATTATGCACTATTTACTACTTTCAATTTATTTTTTGTGTGTGCATGTGACACAGAAAATGATATAGTATCATATTTGTCAATTTTTCCATGATCAATGATATAACATCCTCTCAAGAGCCTATCTAATCGATCTGTGTGTATAGATCATCTCAATTTATTATTTCTGCTGCACTCTAGTTATTTCAGATAGTGCTAGAGAGATAAATATGGAGGCGAAGGGTTGAACAAAGAAATTAAAGAGTGATGCAAGAGAAGAGGATCTGGACGAGGTAGAGTTATTGGATCCAACTAATTTGGCGCTTATTTATTATGCAAAACAAGAGAAGCGCAGGGACGAGAGAAAGCTGAAATGACATTCAAGGGTGCCGCACAGTTTTAGCCATAACTTTGGCTACGAGCATCCATTTTCAGTGTGCGACCTCAATCTGGAAAGGTCTCAGAGAAAGGCACATCATGCCAGGGATTGTTTTCAAACCCAAATTCCATCGCTAAGGCCTCCATTGTTTCATTTTAGTTTTTTTGGGCCTTACAACCTTTATTTTTTCTAGCTCAGTTTGTTTTGCTCTTTTAGGGTTTTCACCCTACTTCACTGTTTCAGCTATTTAAGCCCGGCTTGTGGGCAAAATTTTCTCTGACTTGGATTATATCGGTTTTATCGAAATTCTTGAGTGAAATTTCTCCCATAGCGTTCTCTTTTCCCTTTCATTCGTTTTTCTTTTCGTTTAAACCCTACATCTTGATTCAATTCGGCGTCAATTCGACAACCATGATTGCTTGAGAAAGATGCAATCAGTGCTATATGAGAGAGTGGGAGAGAAAGAGAGAGAGTAACCTCTCAAAACATTAGTAGGTAAACTGTCAACCAGTTACGTCCTAACTCTCTTTTGGATAGTAATTAATGCCGAACCTATTTAATATATTTGACGACATTAATTATTTACAAAATTGAATTGAAAATAAGGTCCACTGAGCTTCATTTTGCATAATAAAACATTTAATTTGGGACATATAGAATTTGTTTTGAATGAAATACAAATTAACCCATTAAAAAATCTCAATCACTCACTTTGCGACATCTTAAAAGACAAATTCTAAGTTCTACTCCCTCTGTCCCATTTTATAACGCCTATTTTAACTTGGCCATATTTAAGGAAGGAAAAAATTAAAGTTGACTTTCCAAAATTGCCCCTCACTTTATTTTTTTAAGGTGGATAGGAGTAAGAAAGGGTGAGTAGGAGTAATTACATGGGACGGTATTTTGGGAATTCCACATAAATAATTATACAAAATAAGGAAACATGGATATCATTTTGAGACAGACGAAAAAGGAAAACAGGCATTATAATTTGAGATGGGAGAGTACATTATATTAGATCTATCTAAAAATTCATCTTAAACATTAACGTATATTAGTATAAATTCATATATAGAGTTATGATGCATAAACATTTAATTTATTTATTGATCTAAGAAGGTCTATCCATTTTGAGTAGAGTTTATTACATCAATATCCCTGTGATTTGGTAAATGTTCATCATTAACCGTCATAATTTCAAAACTTATGTCGTTGCCTCTCATGGTTCAGATATTATTACGTTAATTTAACTAGACTAAAATATTTTTCAAATATTAGGTTAATAACTCCACTCATCTTATAGCTTTCGAAATGGGCAACAACACCCCTCTCTTTTTTCTTTATTCTTTTTCTTTTTTCTACTATTTTTTTCACAAATGTTTATTTATTTATTTTTTAAATTTATTTTTTATAATTTTTTAGAAAAAATTATCTCAAATAATCCCACCTTTTCGTGCTCTTTCAAAAATAATCTCACTTTTCACTTTCACCGGAAATAATCTCACCTTTCCGCATGTGTGCGACTTTTGGGTTACCGTTAAAAATCAACGGCTACTTAACGGAAGTTTTAGAAAATGAATGCTTTTTTCAAATAAATGAAAGGTGGGATAACAGTACACCCTTATTAGAGATTTGCCTAACGATTTAAATATTTTCTTTTCTGTTCTCGGAAAGTATAATATTGAATTATAAAAAATAATTCAGAGTATCGGTCAAGAAAGAAATTGCAATACAAAATTAATGCCGTTTTAGAGAAAACAATATTGTGCCATTTTCATGACTTTTGAATTACTTTTTTGGGGAAACATTTGTACTGAATTATAAAAAAAAAATCATAAATTAGATAGTTCCATTTGAGAAAATAATAATATAGCAATATAAGATCAGCAATAAATATTTTGGAGTGTTAGTTGTTCATGAAAAAATTGCAATACAACAGAAAATGTAGTGAGTTATAAAAATAGAAGTTCCATTATAAAAAAATTGGTGTGTTATTTTCAAAATTATTGTAATGTTGTTTCGCAAAAAATATTTATGTAGAACTATCAAAAATATTCACAAGTTTTGTAGTGCCATTTTTAAGAAATAATAATAATATTGTATCAAAAAACAATTATTCGAAGTGCCGCTCAAGATAAATAATTGCAACTTACAAAAAAAATGCAGTGAGTAGAATAATTTATTTTCTATTTATTACCAGATTATCAATTATTGAAAAAACAATTATTTTCAATCTAAAAACACTTAAATTTGGTTTTATTTTTCAAAAAAATTTTAAAAAAAACATTTTTAAAGTTAGAAATTAAAAAAACGAAAGAGAGAGAATTTACCTAAAATAATCCCACCTTTCATTTATTTTGGGAAAACGGACATTTTTCAAATATTCCGTTAAGTGACCATTAGTTTTTTAACGATGACCCAAAACTCGCACACTTGCGGAAAGGTAGGACTATTTTCGGTGAGAGTGAAAAGTGGGATTATTTTTGAAAGAACACGAAAAGGTGAGATTATTTGAGATAAGTATTCCATATTTAATACGTAGTAATAATTTTTTTTGTATTTGCAATAAAAAATAAATTAAATAAAAAGAATTAACGTACACTTCATTTGTCTCTAATTTAATTTTCATTTTTTGTTCCAAAGAGCTCTTTATTAGTTAGTTTTCAAGACACAAAAATCATTGACCCTTTTTTACACTTTTTTATTTTACTTTTAATATTATCTTACAGTGTTTCTATTATTTTAATCAAAATTAAAATAATATAAAAAGTAATAGAAAATAAAAAAATAAAAGTATATGAAAAATAACTTTTATAGTATACGAAAAAATAAGTCATGAGGGAAACCTCTTGTGCATCGGTCTAATTTTTTTTAATATATAATTAAAAATATAATAAAATTAAGAGACCTTTACTTAGCATTCTTTTGGTCCGACATATTAAAAAACACTTTTTAGACAAAAAAAGGAAAACATTTTATTTGACAAATGAAGTACGGCGTATATGTTAAATTTTTTATTTCAAACACAAAATTTTTTTATTTTTAAAAACTTTTTTTAAAACATAGTTTTGAAAAAAATCATTATTATAGTTTTGAAAAAAACTCATTATTTCAAACACAACATTTTTTTTCTCTTTATGAAAAAAAAGAAAAAAGAAAAACAATAAAGAAAAAATGAGAGGGGGCGTTGGTGCCCATTTCCAAAACTATAGAGAGCTGTGGAAAGTTATATATGTCTAGAGGGCATTGGCTTAGCAATATGGGAATCATGAGAGGCATCGACGTAAGATTTGAAACTATGAGGGCAACTATATATGCACACTTACTTGACTGTAGAGGTATTGGTGTAATATAGTCATTTTGAGTACAATATAGAAAAATTTGCTCCAAAAAGAACTAAAAGGTAGCACGTTTTCCTGAACAGGGCCGAACATGTTTTATTCCATTTATGAAACATGTTTCCACATGATCCGTCATATATGCTCTCATTATCAACAAGTGTTAGATAATGACTGATTATACGAATGACTTTATGAATGTGGTCATTAGCAATAAGTATTGGATAATGAGTGATAATTTTAATAACTATTCAAAATGTTTTTAATAATGTTTTGTTCTACTTGAATTGTGTAATAAGTCATTTTTTTAAAAACAAGGTATTTTAGAACTTTTCGTTGCTAAAAGTTAGAGTAAATATGACCACTCGCGGACCCAGGAATTTTGGTGAGTGGATTCACATTTTGTGCACAAAAGAAAAATGTTGATATTTGTGTAGCAATAAATCTAAAATTATAAAGTTAAAAAAGTATCAATGAATAGCATTCTGAGATTAATATTGTGAGTTGTATGTAATATTTTTAAAATACTATATAAAAATCATAATACGTTCATTCTTTTAACCAAAAAAGAAAAAAACTAAACAACTAAAGTACTAATTCTAGACATTTCTTCAAATACTAAGTATATTTTTGGAATCTTTTTATAAAAATTAAACTTGTTTATAAATTTCAATAAAAAAAAATTGTGCATTTTATAATTAAGTTTTATTATGAAAGTTAAAGCAGTTTTCCAAATTTAAAGGAATTCAAAAAAATCTACATAACTATAAAATGTGTCCTTTGTTCTATTTTCAAAGAATAACACCTAATCACATATAAATATACTCTCCTTGGACGCCCTTAGTCTACATATAATACCTAATTACATACTAGTACTAATAAATACTCCATCCCTCCTGCAAAAAAGTTCCCCTTTCTTTTTTCATCTGTCCCAAAAAATACTTCCCTTTTCCTTTTAAAAAGTTACTTTTACCCCTACTAATTCTTAACTTACCTATCACTTCACACTTTTTCTCTATTAATCTATCAATCTCATCCTACTTTATCCATCATATCAAAAGGGTATTTTTGGAAAGTCAATACTAAAATACACTCACCGATCTTAAATCCTCAAAAAGTCAAAACAGGAACTTTTTAAGGGACGGAGGGAGTAATTTTTTTGTAGTGGGTGCAAGTGACCCCACTTGCACCACCCTAAGTCCGCCCCTGAATAGGACTGGTCCTATTTAAAAAAAATAATATGTTTAAGAAATATTTGCGTAAATTTTCCTACAATATAATCTTGGATGTGAAGCACTCAAGCACTCAAATTTCGATCTTAAAATATATCCAAACCCAAATGTGAAGAGAAGGCATTGATAGTAATACAAAAACGTCTCGATAGGGATGAAAGGAATTCAATTAAAGTGCGCGGTCTCTGCCAGGGCTTGTGTGCATGCATGCATATATTGTCTGCCATCAATTTTTTTTCTTCTTTTCTTTTATGAAATTTCCTTTAGATTTTAGCTAGACAAATTGTGGTCGTGTGAAAAGGAAACATGACGTTCTTATCGTCCAATCCATGAAAAAAAAGGGGAAGAAAAAGATACATACTAATGAATAAAGCAAAGCAAAGCAAAGTGGGATAAAAGAATAACATAAGAATGCCATCACGGCATCAAATATCCCATATGTGTATATATATTATATTCTAATAATATAATGTTCTTTGGTTTTTAATTTCTTTGGTTTACTTTGGTTTCAACTTTCAACATCGGAGCCAATTATTTCTCCTTTTCATGATTGATGTTGATTGAGAAATATATGTGTGCGTATTTGTATGACAAGCAAGACAATTTGTATATCTACCTATGCTAGCTAGATTTTTATTTTATGCATATTCTTTTCATACTCCGTATTATTCTTTAAGATTTAAAAATATACACCATATATTCTTGTGATTATATATATATATATATATATATATATATATATATATATATATATATTTATTTATTTATTTATACACACACAAACACACACACTTTAAGAAAAATGTTGAGAAGTAAAATAAGAGGTTAGGATTTTTTATTTTTAGAAAGGTGAAGATTATTTTAGATTTTGGAATGTCTGAAAAAGAACGAATGAAGTTTGTTTAAAGACGACGGAGTGAGTATATATAAAAGGGGGACCGTTCCCATGACATTGCTCGACAATGTCATGGGTTTACCCGGGGTTGCTCCGGTGCTCCGTTCGTAAAATTGACGGTGCTTACCCCCGGAAAAACCCTTCCACCCACCCTGACCCGAATAAACCCCCACCCCCTTCGATATAGTATTTATTACTCTTTTCATATATAAACAATCGTGTAACTAATAAATAAGATAATTTTAAGATTATATTATTCCATAATTTAATAACTTTTTCTATCTTCATTTAAAAAAAACTTTCAATTCCCTAAAAAATCATTTAATAAATGAGTTGCATTTTTTATCTCTAAATCAATGTAATATGAGTATTGTATTTGTGATATGTTATAATTAAGTTACTTTTTATTCTAATTATTCTATTAAAAAAATATTTTTGATTATAATTATTGCAATATTGATGTAAAAATTAAAAACAAATAATATATTTTAAAAATTACATTACAATATTTATAAAAGAAAAGATGACTTATAATTTTGTTATAATAGAACAAAATATTACATAAAAAAAATTAATTCTCTTTATTTATAAAAAACATTTAATTAATAAATAAGTTGATTTTGTTTACATCTAAATAACTTTTATATGAGTATTTGTTCATTATATGTTAAAATGAATTTAGTTTGTATTCTATTTATTTTATTAATAATGTAAATTTAAAAAACAAACAATACAAGTTCAATAACTACATTATAAAATTAAAAAATCAATATATTACTCGACTAAAATAGAAAAAAATCTCTTGACCTATAAATAAAACTTATACTTTGTATTTTTTGTATAATCTAATCATCACATCTTACATTTACCTATCACATCAAGAGTATTTTTGAAAAGTCGTCACAAAAGTTTTCCTACCTTAAATTTCCTTAAAGTCAAAATGGGAATATCTCACTACGTCAAAAACAGATGTTGACAACTGTTGTTTTTAGTAGTCTAACTTTGCTAGTTTCAGTAGTCTTCCGAGCCGCAGACTACTGTTAAAAACAATTGTGTAATACGGTTGACGACGCCTATTTTGTGATGTTTCAGAGTACATGTTTTTGAAGTTGTCCTCGTATGAGTAAGACATCTATTTTCTAGAGTTAAAGACAACTGTGATGTTTTGTTGTTTATCTATAATAATGAATATTACTGTTGTTTTCGACTTCAGACTCCTATTGCATGGTGTTGTCGTTCAACAGCATATACATCTAATTTCAAAAGTAGTTGAAAGATATATCAGACTGCTGCTTGGAAGACTACTAAACAAAATTAACATCAGACAACTGTTATCTTGTGTTATATTTCTAAAATGTAGACTACTAATTTTGTTGTATTTTAAACAACCGTTTATTTCACTTGTATAGTGGTCAATAACACTACGTTTTTACATAGTTGTCCTTGAAATATTCAAACTACCTTTTTGTGGGGCCAGTCTACAATCCTATGAGCAGACACTTACGGCTAGGGTGGGGGCCGGGGTGTTACAAATGGTATCGGAGCATGTGGTTTTAAAAACGATTCTCGGAAAAAAAAAGGTAAATTTATTTTCAAAAAAAAAAATGTTTACTTTCAAAAAAAAAATTTGAAAAAGGGCATCCACAGCTTCGCGATGTCACTGCTCCAGGAGGTTACTCTAAATCCTTTATTATGTGTTTATATGATAATTGTTGCATGAATAGTTAAATTGTAAAAATTGTAGAATGGACCCTATCGTTAATTTCGACAACAATCATGAGTCTGAGGACGAGAGCGTGCAACAGAACAAGGACCAAAATCTGAACATGAACCAGAACATCCCACAACAAGAGTTGCCAAATGGTGGGCCTGCTGGGGTACCACAGATCGACCATGCGATGACGATGCAGCTCCTACAGCAAGTTTTGATCATGAACTAGAATGCCTTGCCACACGTTCGACAACCAGAACCGAGGATCACGCTCGAGAAACTGAAGAAAAATGGCGCTGAAGAATTCCTAGGCGAGAACATCGCCGACCCGTTGATTGCGTTTAGGTGGATAGAGCGTGTACGACGCGTATTCGAGAATCTGAAGGTTCCAGCTGGCGAATGGGCCGATTTCGCGGTCATGCTTCTACAGAGTAATGCGTACGAGTGGTGGAAGCGCACTACTCGAAATGCGAATCATCCAGCGAAAGTGACGTGGGTGTACTTTGATCAAGTGTTCAAGGAGGAGTATATTCCCGAGTCGTTTGTGGAAGAGAAAAGAGAAGAGTTCTTACATCTGGAGATGGGTACGATGAGTCTTCCCGAGTATCGTCAGCTATTCGATCATCTCGCTGAGTTCGGCCAGGATTTGGTGAACACCACCAAACGTCGTTGCGATAAGTTCGTGAAGGGCATGCGCCCGAAACTCCAGAAGCACATGTCTACTGCATCTAGGCAAGATTTTGGAGTTATGTTCGAGCAAGCCAAAGAGGTTGTTAGAACGAAGGAAGGATTGAAGCTAAACACCGAGCAGAATCCAGCCAAGACATCCACACAAGCAGCTAGCACCAGCAAGGTCTTTCATGAGAAAAGGTCTCAGAGCGAATCTGAAATCCAAATATCAAAGAAAGCCAAATCGGTGCCTACTCAATCCGCTGCCTCGACAAGCAAAGGGAAACAACCTAGGCATCCCTTATGTACCCGTTGTAATCGCTATCATCCAGGAGAGTGTTGGTGGACGCTAGGACTGTGTATGGGATGCGGACAAGCTGACCATCAAAGGAAGAACTGCCCTACAAATCCGGGTCCTGCATTCTCTACCACCCATGCCCCGAACCAGTCGCAAATAGCAAATCCAACTCAGAGTCAACGTACAACAGCAGGATCTCATGTGCAACGACCTCAACAGCAACGACCACCGCAAGCTGCGACACAACAACATGCTAGAGCTCCAGCTAGGACATACGCTATGCATGGGCAAATCGATCCTAATCTAGATGCCGACTATGGTACGTTCTTATATGCATCGTAGGTATACATAGCATTATATGATCCTAACTTAGCTACGTATCGTGAACGTACCTTCCTAATTGATTATGCGTATGGTTGCGAAAGGAGTGATAACGATTTCCTACGACGCCAAGGAATGCGCGTGAATTCAATGTCTTCGTCTATTTCAGCGACAAGGATGCAAAGGAATTTCGAGGACGAAATTCTTTTAAGTGGGGGAGAAATGTAACGCCCTGAAAACCGGCTTAGTAATTAGCCGTTATTTTAATAAAATAAATATATTATTTATTGACTTCAAAATATGAACTAATTGTAAAGTTGACTATTTTAATTAAAAAATTGGTTTTCGAGTAGATCTCGTAAAATGGTGACTAACGGTATATAATTTGTTAAATTTGGACATACGTGTAAAGCGTGGTGAGTGAAATAGTTATCACACTTTAATAATAAATGAAAAGATATTGTAATATAATATTATAATAAATATGGGTAATAAAGAAGTGGCGTCCGATCCTATTACCAAACCGATATTAGGGAGGAGTCTCTTAATTTCTAAACCAAATCCAAGTTGGAAAGGGGTCAATCTCGAAGTATAAATCGCGTTCCAAAGGAGTCCTCTTCGTATGTCTTCTTCGCCGCGCCACCAGCTGGAGCAGACCAGGAGTTCGCCGGACATACGCTAAAGTTGTCGCCGGAGGTTGGACAGGAGTCTTCGCCGGGAAACCTGCCGGAGCTTCGTCGAGGATTCGCCGGTGTAGTTTGAAATTTCTAAGCCGATTCAAGGTGAGTGAATTATCTCTCGTTAGAATTAATTCGTAGGTTAGGATTCGTTAATATATTATCTCCAATTGATGTTGAATTTGTGAGTTGGATTGTTGAATCTCTTGATTAATTGGAATTGATTGTATATTTGGAATGGGGTTTGGGTTGGATAATGGCTATTTGCCTTTTTCGAACTTTTCTCTGCTATGTAATGTTCCGTCGCTCTCTCTGTACCTCCTCTGTTCTTCTTTGTTTGTTCCTCTCTCTGCTCGGAGTCGCTGCTGTGTTGCCGACCAGGGAGGTCGTCGCAAGTGACCCCGCTGCTGGACAAGATGTTCGCCGCTGGTTGGAGTTGGGGGAGCAGGTACTCTTTGGACAATAGGATTGGAGATTTAAGTTTCTAAAATTGTAGATTGACCCCATGATTCTCAAGACGTTGCAATTAGGCCCTCTTCTATATTATGCCTCTAAAATATGAATAAAGGCTACAAATTAATCTAATGCGTTGTTTAAACTAATGAATTGTGTAAGGGTAATTATGTGATTGAATTGGATTATGAGATCATGTCTCCTGGTATATCTAGGAAGGTTTGAGTTAAACTGAATTCATAATGATTAAGATTTAGGATTTAGGCCTGGTGGGGCGAGCTTCGCATAACTCACAGGTCTTGGGTTAAAAACGTACGTACGGGAGTCATCAGCCTACCTAGGGATTCCTTTGTAGGGGCTCCAACCCGCCCATTGAGGATTCTCTTTGGGTTTCATCAAGCGTGGCCTCGGGGGATCCGTCCGAGTGTCCATGGCTTAGTTAGTCAAAAGGAACCTTAGCCTATAGGGTTAAGTGTAGATGAACAACGGGAACTGAATATAAATAAATAGTTGATCATTATATTTGATAATGATATTTGCTGATTCTTCTGATGTTGTATGATTATATATTGATGGGTGCTAGTCTATGAGTTAGTTCTAGCGTTAGATACTTCCACTCTCCCTATTTTTACAGGTAGGGATCAAGGATTGGATGAAGAGCATCCTGGAGGACAGTGAAGCGTGATGCTGGTGGATGGCCCGATGCTGTTTGAAATTGAATTAAATACTTGTTGACTTTTATTTTGTTTAAACTACAAGAATGTTTGACGTTGTTGTTTTAAAAGCTTCCGCAACGTTTGAATTATTTACTCCGATTAATTATGAGTTGTTTCTAAATAAATGTGATTTGATATTTTATTATTAAATATTTTGAAATATTATGCATGTGAATACCAAATTAGTAGCAACCCGACTCGCTAGCTCGTTGGTTCGGGTTACGCGGGTTGGGGTGTTACAAGTGAGATTGTAAATCAGAAGACTGCTCCAAACACAACTAAGTATGTTTGCATAAGACAACTGCTATTCTATGTTGTATTTTTAAAATGTAAACAACTATATTTGCTATATTTCACACCACTGTTTATTTCTATTGTCTAACGTTTATTAACAGTCCAGGTTTGTGTAGTTGTCCTTTAAAAATTTAGAAAACTGTTTTAATACATTGTAAAGCTGTTTGAAAGACTACTATATTTCAATTTACATTTATATTTAATAAATAAAATTTATTTCAACTGTGGCAACAAAAACCGTATTTTGATATGACACAGACAACTATTAATAGATTACCGTTTCTATGAACTTTAAAAACAAATGTTGGCTAAGTATCTAGACTATTTTTAAGAAAGAGTATTGTATTCTTATTATAAACAACAGTGCCAAAAATACTATATGACATAGACAACTAGCAATAGATTATTGTTTCTCATAACTTTAAAAACAGTTCTAGACTGAATAACTAGACTACTGTTTAAAAAGAGTATTCTTAACTTATTATTGACAACTGTGATAACAAAAATGTATTTTGGTATGACACAGACAACTAATAATAGAATACCATTTCTCGAAACTTTAAAAGTAGTTTTATGCATAATAGCTAGACTACTACTTTTGTAGCCAACAACAACAAAGAGTAGTCTGATTTTTTTCAACTACTGTTTTTCCATAAACAGTTGTTAATCAACAGTCGTCTGAAACTGTTTTTGGCGTAGTGTCTTTATAGGACGGAGAATTAACAATGTAATAAGGCAGTGTGACCAGTCAACAAAAAGAAGATCTTCGATCAACGTCGGCGATTGTAAGTGGCACTTTGGTGGCCGCGCCGACTGTGACATATGACAGTGTGGTAGTTACAGTGTGATCATATGGTCAGTGTACTAGTATAACAATGATATTATGAATCTCTATTTTGGTCTTAAAAATTTAACACTTCTATTTTTTTGGTCTTTTTATATTTTTTATTCTTATCCAAGAAGTTTTCCCATATAAGTTTCATGGTCTTCCCGTCTATAGCAATTAGTTCTAGGATAGAACTTTAATGAGCATGTGCATGTGTTGAACTTGTTTTGAGACTGTCTCAAAAGGAGGCTTTTCTTTCTTTCGTTTTTTTTGGAAAATTTGACTAGATCATAATATTTATCTCTCCTTTAAATCATTTTTAACCACACATTTTCTTTTCTTTATTTTTAATTTTGTGTCAAGTCAAACTGATAGCTAGCATTACTTTTACTCTTAATATTGACGTTCTAATTTCTTTAATTTTTTTACTATCATTTTTGATACAATTTGATAATAACTTGTCTTATTGAATATTGAGAGATATGACCCTATATATAGGGAATACAAGAGTAATCAAAGTACAAGTAGGAAAGGAAAGAATAATCCTAGTAGGAAAGGAAAGAAGCATCCTAATTTAATTATACTTCCTAATATCCCCCCGCAAGCTGATCAACGGAGACGAGGGGCAGCTAGGAACATAAGTACTCAAAAGGAACTGGCGGAAGCGGTTTGGTAAGAATGTCTGCTAGCTGCTCTGAGGAGGAAACATGATGTGGAGTCATAGTGCCTGCCATAACCTCATCTCGTACAAAGTGACAGTCTGTGCCCACATGCTTCATGCGATCATGAAGAACCAGATTTTTGGTGACACAGATAGTCGACTCATTGTCACAGTATAACTTCGGTTTGGACGGAGGAATACCCAGCGCATCAGTGATATATCGAAGCCACATAGCTTCTGCAACCCCTGCAGCCATAGCTCGATATTCAGCTTCAGTGGATGATCTAGAAACACGAGTCTGCTTTTTCGTGCACCAAGAGATGATATTAGGACCGAGTAGGAGTATGTAGCCCGTGGTAGACTTGCGATCATCTTTATCATTGGCCCAGTCAGAGTCAGAGTAGACAGATAGGTCGAATCCCCCCTTGCGAAAAAGAAGACCATGATTCAAAGTGCCTTTGAGATAGCGCAGAACGCGTTGCAAGGCATGATAGTCCTGCTCAGTGGGGTTGTGCATAGTCTGAGACACTCGATTAACAGCATACTGAATGTCTGGACGAGTGACAGCCAAGTAATGTAAACCGCCAACAATGCTCCGAAAATGAGAAATATCCTTGAAAGGCAACGAAGGCTTAGTGATAGGTCTCGTAGCCATAGGAGTAATAGCCGGATGACAGTCGGACATCCCAGCTCGGCGTAGAAGATCACGGGCATATTTGGATTGATGGAGAAGTATAGAATCTT